CCTACAACCCTAAACCCTAAATCCAGTTTGGGGTTTAGGGTTCGGGGCGCCAGCTCCTTGGGATGGGATAGCCCCCACCCCCTTCTTCCCCTCTTCCCCCCGTTTGCCTTGAAACCCGAAACTTTAAACCCTTAAGCCCAGGATCCTGAATGTGACTCTAACGTCCTGGGAGTTAGGGTTTAGGATTTAGGGCTGCTGTTTCTCAGATCCTAACTATGGCCCCTCAATTCTGCTTGCGGGGTTGTATCGGGTATACAGTAGGTATATCATAATCTACACACGAAACCCCTTAACCCTAAGACTCTTAACCCCGAACCCTAAGCCCCAAATCCCAAAACCGCCCGAAACCCTAAACCCAAATCCCTAAACCCTAATCCCCAAACCCTAAACCCTAATGCCTAATCCCTAAACCCTAAACCCTAGCCAAACAGTTTTCAGGTTTTCAACTCCATGGCCCAAGCCTCCGTTGCACCTGCACCTGGGCCACATCGGGGCTGAGCTTTAGGATTTAGGCCTTTAGGGTTTTAGGGTTGTAGGGTTTAGGGTTTAGGCTTGTAGGGTTTAGGGGTTTTGGGTTTGGGGTTGTAGGGTTTTAGGGCTGGAATTTAGGGTTGTAGGGTTAAGGGTTTAGGGCTTTACGGTTTAGGGTTCATGGCGTACTAGGGTTTGGGGTTCAGGCTTACCAACGGACCGTGGAGGTTGCCTCCTAGAATAGATATCCCACTGCAAACATGAAAGATGAAATGGAAACCAGGACTATGTGGGCGTGATTTGGGGAATCACACGAGTTTCTGTCAATACTAGATTTACCAAGGAAAGGTGGGCATAGCAGTATCGGTAGTTTAGGAAGAACCCTGATATATTCCTGAATGGTAACCCATGCTCATTGCTTTTTTGGAAAATATTGGCTGTAGCTCAAATGCGGACCCCCAAAAATCTGTAAATCCGCTGGACATGGGCATGCCAGACTTTCTCCATTCGCACTACTTGGGTTTTGGGTTTTAGGCCAAGACCCCAAAGCCCTAAACGGGAAGATTCAAGCCAACCCTCCCACACCCGGAACGGTTTCTGGAGACACAAGACAGGAGGATCATCAGAGCCACCCCACCCGGCAAAATTTACAGAATATGAACCATGGGGATTCCCCCTGGACAGCCTAATGGTACACAAATTTCTGCGACGAAATATTTCCGCTCGATGGCCCAAAAAATGCACGTGGTAACTAAAAAGCGCTCGTTTGACAAAAAGCGCTCGAAAATATACATAACATAATCCTGTTGGCATCTAGATTTCAGGATGGCCATGATCATAGCTCACCAAACTATCCCCATCACAACAATCCCCATCACAAAAGCTATCCCCGAAGCACATCCCATCAGAATAAAGCTATCCCCGAAGCACCTTACAACCGCTTATGCGAATCTACATGGAGCTGTTGCTGGACAAGATTTTTTCAGCCTGCGCCCCAGCGCCTTGCCCACTGCCTTGAGTATAGGCATTTGGCTCGTTGCAAAGTCCTGTGATGGGTTGTAAATTTGTGGCATCGGCGGCTCAGCCGAGCCACCCGTCCGATTAGATCTTCGTCGGACCAACAGCAATACGATGTGAGGTTTAAAATTTTGGAGCAACCTCTTTCCAGCTGGTGCTCAAGGTGAAGCCTCAACTAGTGGAATCAAGATATAAAAAGATTTTCAACTGGGTCTTTCCAAATTCAAGCTTGAACAAATCAAACCCTCAAGGCGAAAAGCATGAACAGCCAAGCCAAGTCACACCAAATGACAGAGCATATGCAGCTTGGGGCGTACCTGAAAGAGCATGAGGCCCATCTTGGCACTCAAGCTTGCCAACGTGCAGTAGCCGTCCTGAGCATCATTGGGGGGAGCATCGCATTAAGTTCCATATAATTCTCCTAGAGCATGGCTGGAGCAGCCAAGCTACAAGGGTATGCCAGCCATTTTCGCAAATCCCAGACGCAGCAGAGCGCTCCAGCCACATACCATTTTGGTAGATTGATCGCCAGAACTGATCAGATGTTCCAATTGTGAAGCGTAGCACTTCGAAGATTTCCCGATGCTTCGCTTCCTAGATTGGGGCAGATATAGTATATTTACATGTTCAGAGTTTTTGCTATGTACGACGTTTCCAATTGAAGCCCGCAATACTCCCAAATCTACTTTAAACACTATGGGGCCTGAAATTCTGAACCCAAGCTTATCCTATTGAGCCAAACCCACAAGTAATCGTGCCACCCAGCCACAAGAGAGGCCGGAACCACGCAGCCAAGCTCTTCACAAAGCCAGGCCCCTACCACACCACAGTCGTGGCCTTTCCCTAAACCAGCAGGGTAGGTGCTGTACCTAGGCTGGGTATTGTTTGAGGGTCAAGGGCTCCAAGGGTTTAATTTTGGTTGAGCGTTTAGGGTTAAGGCTAAGGGTAGCGGGTTGTAGATCATGTCCGATTAATTTGGGGGGCTTTGTGTAAAGAAACTGGGACATCTTGGAAGAAACTGCCAATAAGGTCTCATTAGATTTTCGTAGACAAGAGGCGTTTTTGAGCACTTCAGGGTCATATAATCGAAAGCGTCGATGGAGGTGTATTTCTTGGTTCGATGAAGAAAGTTTCGAAAGCGCCTGTAGGCTTCCTGTAGCCTACGATCCATTGACCCACCACTGCCAAACAAGCCAATCCTGCATCCCAGAATCAAGCAGGAAGCATACAAGCTTTTACCCACGCCGCAGATTGCCCAGCTGTGAGCGGGGTCTATAAGAGCCATCTCCGGCCGATCTCCATTTGGAAGCAATCTCAAAGGTGAGGGTTCAAGCCAGCACTTGAAGGGATCGTTTGGCTCATATCCTGCCGGTAGCGATCTAATTTCGCCTTTGACATCCCACCAGTCCTTAGATGCTGCTTACTGGTTAGAGTAACACGTATGAACTATAATGGCGGAACACATAGGCGAAAGAGATGCCATCGCTATAGCAAAGGCTCGCTGACATCACATAGATGACATTTCCGCAAACAATTGAAGCCGCAAGACATCTTAAATGCCGTCCTCAAGAAAGGCCAGTCACCTTTCGTGCCCACATAAACGAATCTGATTTGGAAAGATCGCCCCTTCCATTTCACCTTAGATATCCCAGGAGTAGGATTCAGAGGCCCATGCAGCAAAAACACTTTCCAAGCAAATGCTGCATTCAGCTAAAAGGCTTCCAAGCCATCTTCATGTAGATGGATCAAGTCCTCCACAATCGCTTGCATCACGGCATCCATGGTAATATCCTTCACGTAAAACACAGATGGGATCACGGCCAGGAGCAGGCGGGTGCACATGGAGTGCCTTACTTGGTCATGGACTTGAGATCCAAAGCCGGTAAACAGATTGACATGTAAAAATACCCAATCAACAAAACATTATATGATAATCCCGCAGAGGTACCCTGAGAGATTAGACGTTGACATATCAGGACTTACAACGAGAGGTTGGAGGCTTAACACCATTATAGGTTTTTTCCCTTTGCCACGGCCTTCATCACCATGCAGGCAGTATGGAATAGCCAGGCCAGGGCTTCCCACAAATTCAAAACCAGGATGCGCGGCTAGAAACCGGTTCCAAAACAACTCAAGAGTGTTTGAGAAGCTGTCGATCTCATCCATTGTAGACCCCGCCAAAAAGAAAGAACCCCCCAGCTTGAAGATGCACGAAGCCCAGTCCGAAGGTCGCAACAACGGATATTGCACCTTCTTGGCTACAAGAGGCCGCCCTTTCCGTGATTTTCTGATGAGCACCTCTGTTGTTGATATTGGGAGGGGTAAGGATCTAGCAGACTTCTCAATGAGTCGATGCAAATTTCGGCAAATATGAGTGTCGGTTCGGGAATTCCCACAGGCTGCCATCTTCTGCAACAGAGGGTCCAGAATTCCTTGGGTTTGTAGATTTGATTCACTTGGCGAAATGCATTTGTTCTGCTACATTGCGGGACCCGCTGATTTGCTTGCCAAGACTCCATGAATTTGTAATCTCTTGTAGGCCACTTGCGCCAACCTCACCACCCGGGCAGCGGAATCTGCCTGGGCTGAAATACAAACCGGGCTAAGCCGCAGAATTCCCAAAGAATGCGGTTTACATATAATGGATGCAAACTGGATCGTGGACACACTGCCCTGGAAGGAGATTAAGCAGAAGCCACCAGTGAACCACTAGTAGATTAGTAGAGAAACAACATGCTCAATTTCAACAATCCCTGAGCCCAGATATTGTAGTCTGAATACCGAATCCAGAAACATGCCAACCACTTGTCTGACCATTAGTACTGCAAGTACCATTCACTATTAGCATGCAAGCCACACCATCCTCGAAGCCAATCAACAGCTCGTCCGCAAGGTCCGCAGACTCATCGATGTCTTCATGATCGATTCGATATCTGACTCCTGCCCAAGGCAGAATGGGGTAGAGAGGGGTCACTATAAGTTTAGGGCTTAGGGTAGTTTAAATTAGATTTCTATGTGAGACGTTTCTCAAAATTCCAGTTTGCAAGAGATACTTTATACAGTCCATATATAGGGATTGTTGCAATTGCAATCTAGGACCCTATACGTAGCTGTCCTCGTGGCAGGGGTGGCGGCTCATAAAAATCATCAGGTTGGCCTCCAAATCTCTTCGCACACGCAGGAAGCTAGATAAGGGCGAAACCCCTCATGTCTTGCACTGCTTGCTGCATCTTGTGAGCGCAAATTTTCATCAGGCAGAGCGAGACGCATCAAGGCACAAAGCCTCCCCATAACCTCACCAGCTCTAGGCCAGTGCAAATCTTTACACATGCAAATTAGTGCATGTGCCTCTCCATGGATCATACCACGTCTCGAGGTCTAAGAAACTCCCCGATCCAAGCCATGAGCTTTACTTGCTCTTCTTGGCTGGCTTTTGTCCTCTGGCTCTCTTGCCCCCATTCATGCGCTGCGGGGTCTTCCCTCCCGCCGTCGAAGGCGTCGACACGTTTTTCATCATCCTTTGCAGGGGGCTAAGAGAGAAGGCACATCGGGGATTCTGATCCAAGTAGCCAAGCCTTGACCGCACCACCAGATTATTCAGCCCGACATCTAGCCGTGTGCATTCAGCGTACGCTGCCAGGAGAGTCTTGCTTTGGTCAGGCCTTCAGGATTGATAGGTGGGGGAATAGGGTTCATGGGGGTCCGTGGCAGATGAGGGTTGCTTATAACAAGGTTTTCCCGCAAGGTTTCTCATTCGTGGGCTTATTGTAGGCGTGCACAAGATCGAGATTGCCTGGTGACTTTGGAAGTGGCCACATTTTCCTGTAGTTCTTGCAAATAGTCGTACTGCTTCTTGACTTTGTCCAGCTGGGCAGACAGGGTCCCGGCAAGCCTAAGATAGGCCAGCATGAAATTCCACGTAGGCCTATATGGTTGCTATTATTAATAGCACGTAGGAGTGTCCAAGGGGCGTCTGTGCTCTGGGGTTCTTTGTCATCGCATGGAGCTTGTCCTGAGCACTGCCATAGGAAAGTGTATTCCATAATAATGAGGTTACGAGGCCCGAACCAGCACTCCCTCTGTTGCGTCGATCTTCCTTCCGCACACCTCTAAGAAGCTTGGGAGGAGGACAAAGGCAGATTCGTTCTGGCGAAGCGTAGGATAGGTGATCCTGTAGAACATGGCAAATGTACGAGAGCGGCAATGATAAGCGCGTGTTGAACATGCACAGTTCCTATATCTTTCAGGCGAGAGGCTTGAAAGCGCCCCCCCCTAGCACTGCAGTTTGAGGGGCAGTTTCTGGGGGCGATCCCAGGGACTCCACCAACGGCTCATCTCCGTCGTGGATGGAAGGCATGGAGCTTGCAAACAAGGTTCCATTCTCGTCCTTCGTGAGCATATAAATCAAAGGGGGACAGTTCTCTCTTTCATTGAACCCAGAAAGTAGCCACTAGAATAGAGAAGTAAATGCCCCCACAATTTCCTCAAGGCAAGTCCCCATAAGATTACAGGGGTGCTTACGGGTTATTTCCACAAATTTGGGGGTAAAAGATATTTTACTGATAAGGGGCTCGGGGCAGAAAGTAAATAAGAAGAGATGTTCATTCACGTTGTTGCAAATTGAGTGGGAAGCACGGGAGACCTCGATATTTCGAAATCTTATAGCCTGCGCTAGACCAGTTTGAATCCTTATATATAGTTCTTGAGCCTCTTAACCGAATTGTTGTTCCAAGATTAGGGGGTCTAGGGGTTCCATATATTGAAACTCTAATCATGCATAAGTACTTTATTGCGGTCCTCCATATCGAAAGATCCTGCTTGCTCGGTGCTATCTCCAATCTCTTCCATAAACATGAAGCTGTCTTTCAAAATGACCCGGATTTCTTCCTCACCGTGGACTTCGTTCACCCTCTTGCGGCCGGGCTTTTGATCAGCCCAGCGCCATGCATTGGCAATCATCTTCCTTGTTTGCACTTAGTCCCCCAACAAACATCCCAAGCCCAAGGCGAAAATCTCAAGTAGCTATGTATATAACAACCCTGCACAAATAATTACCGCTTTGGCAGTTCTTTGAAACTCCGATAATTTACAGCAGCTTCCAAGACGATTACGTACACCAAACACGCCAAACCCGAAACTTTCTTAATCTCCTCTAGCCCATAATCCCCCGAAGGCTGGGAAACCGTTGCAACTCCTCGGATTACGCTGAGGCAGGATATGGGAAGGTTACGTGCTCCTACTTTAACAGACCTGCAGAGTCTCAAGTTGGGGGATACTACTGGGTATAGTGATGTTATCGTTTGCTAGAAATGTATGCAAGTGCTAATGAGGGCTGAAGTCTTCGTCCACTTTGCTTCGGTTTCCAAGTAGATCTTGGTGTACCAGCCGCCTTCTTTGAGGAGGCGGCGCATTTTCGTTCTCCACTGTTTCAACTTCGTCTCGATCACGCCGAAATCTCCATATTTCGTGAGGAGAGTTCTCAACTTCTCGCCTAGGATTCAGGGTTTGTTTCCCGGAGGTACACATGTTGCATTCAGGATTATAAGAGTAAGATCGAGTATTTTAGATCTGGGACCTTTGGGGCTAAATGTATATGAATAATCATACACAAAATCTACACATTGTTGACCATGTACGACCCTCGTCGGTCTTCCACAGGTGGATGGCATCTGGGCTGGCCTTCACCACTCCATCAGTCTTTGGCCTGAAATAGCGGTAGCACCTGGGCTCATGAAGGATCGAATTCTTAACTATGTGCATGGAAGTAGAATCGCATTTCTATAGGAGTCGTATATGAAGAGCTTGCTCGTACATCATATAATCAGCTGATGCTCTTCCACCAAAGCTTGTCCCTCTTGTTGGGTGTAGAAGTGGCAGAGGGGGCTACTGATGAGGGTGGCTCCTCACTATCCGACCTGTTGTGCTCGGACACTGAACGGTGGAAATCCTCACCAAGATCCCTTGCTGGCAGCGGAGTTGGCGTTGTGTCAGGGTTATGTCTGGAGGGTGGAGGGTCTGCCTTTTCCGTATTCATCCTCGTTCGTTTGTGGCTGCTTACTGCAGACCTGGTCCTCCTCTTCTTGATTGCGCTGCGCATGAACCAAGCAGGATCCTGAGCATCCTCTCTCTTCGAATCATAACTCCTAGCCTCTTTGCTAAGCAGGCCCTTGCTCTCGGTATTTGGAAAGGACCCAGCCAAGTGCTTCCCACCAGCAGCAGCTATGACAGGAGCACCTTCAAGTCTACCACGCATGACATGTCAATTCCAGGATAACAAACAAACTCTTTAGTCTACAACCCTGCTTCAGCAGCCATGCAGGCCTGACATTCCCTTCTCGAGCGGCGGTGGGGCAGAGGCCTTGGAGCTAGATAGTCGTGCCTGCAAGGCTTCTATCTTGGCTTGCGACT